ATTTTCCTTTTTGTTCCAAAATATTTTAACTTTGCCACGTTTTCAGTGTATTTTTGTAGAATTTATATCAGAATCTTTCCCGCAGCCTGGATACGTTCTTTCTGCTTTTACCCCCAGAACGACTTCCTTAGTAGCGTCAAATATAGCTTCTGTGATTCTTCTTATACCTGTTTTCAGTAAATTTGACGTATACTTAACATTGCAAATTCCAAGTCAGTTCTATTTTACGTTTTTATTTTATCCCAGTGAATTTGTTTAAGTTCGAGGTCGTGTGTAATATTTGGTAACACGCTGGATTTAAAAGCCCTCAAGCTGTAGGACCACCACTGTTCGGCTATCCGCGGATGCTCTTTCAGTACATACTCAGCTACCCTTTGTGTATGGAGGTTTTAAGTATAATATAGATTTTTAAATGACTGTATTGTAAGTTTTGCAGACAAAACTTTGCTTTTCTAAGCCATTAAATTCTTCGCTGTCTCTTAATCTTTGGCACGGTGGTAGCTGTATGTACCACCTGCTGAAATATCCAGTAATCCTGCATTTTACCAACAGAGTGTATTTATGGTTAACATATGATTCTTCCTACACAACTATTTACTCTTTGTACGATTTGAGGTTCTCACGGCGATGAATATGAAGATGCCTTTCTTCTGGGCTGTAACACCTTGTAGTCTGGTGGAACTTTACCGACGTTTCAGAGGTCCAGAAGACAGCCATCTTCTATACACTCCTTGCACTTGACTTTTATGAAATAAATCGCAGAAACTATTCATGCAATGGCTACAAAATTTTACAGACATACAGATTTTTTTTCTACGATGACATTCTTTTTCAAGTTCATAAAAGCAGGAACTTATTTTTTATAATGTATTTTTGTAATCGATATTTTCCCACATATGTACAAACAAAAATTCGAAATCTATGTGTTTATTTATTTGGAGATCTTTAAAAAATGAATTGATTTTGTCGCCCTAAAACACAAAACAAATTCCCCTAAGTTTAACACAGTTATGTAAAAAGTGGTGTGTGCTTATTTTAATTACAGCCTGCCTTCCCAAGTGTCTAGATTATTCAGGAGCTAATTCTGTATTGCTTGATCACAGTTTAGCTGTTTCTTGTCTCCTTACAGCCAGCATCCCCAAGTGCGGTGGTTGCCAGGAATTGATTCTGGACCGCTTTATCCTGAAGGTGCTAGACCGAACGTGGCACGCTAAGTGCCTAAAGTGCAGTGAGTGTAGCGGACAGCTCAGCGACAAGTGTTTCGCCCGCAATGGTCAGGTTTTCTGCAAGGAGGACTTCTTCAAGTGAGTACTCACTATAGATTAGTTGTCGGAGGTCGATGGCATCTCAAACGCCTTCCATGTTGTAATGTGGACTCGGCGTACTTTAAAGTCGGGATTTTTGGCGTTTCTATCTTTCACGTTTTCTTACAGGCTGTTTTACGAAGTCAGACACGTGACTGTAATGTCAATGTTTTAATTTCTACAGAAAGAAAATGTGTCATAAATAAATAAAAAGCGTTTAAAAGTGGGGATTGGATTTTAATGGCTCAGATTTAGGTGTAGTGGAAGGTCTCTTTAAAAAGGGTAATGGACTTACGAGTATCTTAAATGTACTTATAGTTAATGTCTGGCTCGGCTTTGAAATTGTTAACTTTTCATAGAATAATCTTTACCATAATATTAATAATTTTAATAATTAATTTGGGTTCAGTTAGGCTGTAATTATTTATGTATTACATCTATAAAATTTAAATCAGTTATTTTAATCTCAGTAATAATAAGTTCTGGAGACGAATTTCTTGCATATAAGAGGCCTGCTGTAATATTTCTCGAAAAGCTATATTGCTGAAAAATTTGACTAAAACGCCATAATTGTAGTGGGGGGAGAGGTGGCCTTGCAAATTCTACTACCATTTCAGTGTAACAGCTTTTGCTTGAGTCGTACAGCACAGACGCTGGTTTGTCATCCCAACGTTGACTCACAGTTGTTTCGGCATGAGTAGTACTGGCGGGCGGTTGAGTAAAACTGTCCCTCCATCTCTCAATCTGTGAACAGCACGTAGTCATTTTTATAAATTGCCACACAGTATAAATCTATTCCCCATTTTAATAACCTTGCAGTCCGCGAGTCCAAAAGAAAGAATCAGTTCGGTCTTAGGTCTGGGAAAGTTTGATGATCCCTAATCTAAACTTTTGCCGTCGTGAAAACCTCAGATCTCATAAAATTCGTTCATGTTTCTCTGTCTGGCATCTCCACACAACGCACAATGTCCAGGGAACATTCTTACATAAATACCATGTTTAAACATGAGCAAACTTCTTGGCGTGAGGGCGACAGTTCCGATCGGCTCCTAACGGTCGAGGAGGAAGTTTTGGCGACGCCATGTTCAAAAAATTTATCTCAGGTTTGACTTCTGGATCGCAATTAAGTCGTGCAGTTGAGTCCATAGTGTGAAACGTGTTTTAAGACTTCGTTTTCCTGACAAATATAAATAATGAATCAAGTGGTTCACTTCATGGGGTCAAATGTATTGTCAATGACGAGAAATATCGCTATTTCTTAGAATTGTTACGTTATCCACACGCCAAATTGTTTTCTCATATTTATATGTTCCCTCAGTTCTGCATTTAAACGCCTGCCTGATGTGCGTTCAAAGTCTCAAACGCTCAAGAATTGCAGGACGTCTCATCTGACTTGAGATCCGCGAATCTCAGTGTGTGGGATGGTGAATTGCAATAATGAGCGGTGCGTGGTGCTGTGGGTGCTTCAGGCGGTACGGGACGAAGTGTGCGGGCTGCGAGCAGGGGATTCCCCCCACTCAGGTGGTCCGGAGAGCCCAGGACAATGTGTACCACCTGCAGTGTTTTGCCTGCGTCATGTGCAGCCGGCAACTCAACACGGGTGACGAGTTCTATCTTATGGAGGACCGGAAACTGGTCTGCAAGCCCGACTACGAGGCAGCCAAGACTAAAGGTAGGCCTGCCTTAAGCTTCGTTTGATGTACGCAGAAGATGGGAGTCCCCCGTCCTGTTAATTTATGGTGGCCTCTGACAGGTACAGGCAATGGCTGTGTTGTTGGTAGCGGGAGACGTAAGGCAGCGTAGATGTATGGATCAGCTGAGAAACATTTGACCTACTGTCAAATTATAATATATATTAATGTAGTATCATTCAGAAATGTTGCTGTTGAAAAAGTACATTTTTGATTGGTGATTACTTTCTTTGATTGACCCCTCAAATTCATTCGTTATTAAATTAATATGGGCAACATACTAAAATTAATTTTTTCATGTTCGCCAGTCTTACTGCGTTAAACTCCCCGCACACTTACCTGCGCAGTCAAACCTACCGCTTTCATAAAATAACAGGACTTTGTTTTAAATTTTAAGAACTGAGGAATATAATGTTGGGTGGGGGAACAACATTTCTCTAACTTTCGTACCTCATATGTACCTTCTTACCATGCGATAATACTTTATAGAAATCGAATGAACAACTGTTTAGATGAACAAGCCTACCTAACAGGTTACATCAGCGGTAATTTATAACTTGTTTTTGAAAAGTGGTCGAATATAATTTTGGGATTTTGTAACAATGGAGGGAACATCAACGCACTGAGTGTTTTTGTTTGATGAATTTCTTCCCTGCCGTCCTTTTGTATGAACCAAACCGTAACGAGCCGAGTTAAGTCGTTGCTATGTGGTCCAGTCTCGGAAACTGAAGCGTACATCAAAAGTTGAGTTCCCCCTCTTACATTATTAATTACTGTAGAATGAATTGGGACAGAATGACCTATGAAAGTTTAGCTAATATGAGAAGTGAACTCGACGGCGAAAAGCGACAATTGGAGACATGAAAATACATGTCAAATTTCAGGTTTTAACGGCGGTGAGTCCGAAGATGGCTGTCTTCTGGGTTGTTGCGCCGTGTAGCCTAGTAGAAGTTTACTGACCCCTTAGAGGTCCTTGTTACTTCAGTCATGATGACCCAATCTTTTATATTAATACTTAAACTTTGGGGGGAATATTTGTGTCTTTACAAAATTTAGAAAGGTTTTTCTCAAAAGTTGTTCGTTGCATGTTCGTCCTACGTCCTACGCTTTAGTTGTGTGAATAACGACTTTTTCCCTAGACAGAGAGTAACGCTATTTCGTGTGTATCTTACAGTAGCTATTTATGTCTAACTACAAACATTGTTGTTATGCGCAGACGGGGGTTGTCTGGATGGGGATCAGCCCAACAAAAGACCACGCACAACCATCACAGCCAAGCAGCTGGAGACGTTGAAACTGGCCTATAACAACAGCCCGAAGCCCGCAAGACATGTGCGAGAACAGCTCAGTCAGGACACGGGGCTGGACATGAGGGTTGTACAAGTGTGGTTCCAGAACAGGTCAGTACCGCCGTAGCACTCCTGCTTCGTAATCGGGAGATCCCGTATTCAATTCTCCCGGCCCGAAGACTGGCTATTCTGACTCAGATTCTTCGTGGTTTTCTTCAGTCTCTTCATGAAATGCCGGTATAGGGTCTTTGGCCAGATCAGGACAGCTTCTTTCCATATCTTTCTTAATTAATTATTCACTATTAATTATATTATATGACGCTATATAATGTTAGATATTTATAACGTCCTTAAATAAACGACAAATAATATTAAGAATTTAGAAAAGTTTGTCACTAAGATACGACGCTAGGGACGAATTTCTAAGTTCCCTTGCAGAATATTAAGCTTCCACATTTAGTCACATGCGAATTGTATAGAAACTGGATAGATGTCGGTACAGTGACTAGGCTGTGGGTTAGGTGAACGCCGTTCGATTCCCGGCAGCTCAGAAATCTTCCTCTTTGCCACCACGTCCATATACGCTCTAAGGTTCACCCAGCGCCCTATCCTATGGCTACCACAGGATCTTTCCTCTGGGTCAAAGCGGCTGGGGCGTGAAGCTGTGGACTTTCATCCATGTTGTACTGAGGTTAAAAATGCGTTATACCTAATCTTCTCCTTACTGCCTCATGGTGTTGTGCTTAATTAAACACAGTAATCATTTTTTTTTTACCTTTACTTCAGTTTCGTTACGTAGGGATCACAGTGCCATATCTTCAGAAAATTTGCTGATCAGATCGGTACAAGTTAACAAAGATCCAGTCTTGAAGCAAAAAAACGACAAGGTTTATCGGTGTGTCAGGTGTCTTAACCAAACGCGACACTTGGGACCATAGCTCTGGTGATGGCCGAAATGCGTGTGTTTAGGTGATAGAACAATTAATGTGATTAAAATTATTGAAATGAGCAGTATCTCTCACTGTAACAGCGCATTCAGATAACATCGCTTATTAAAATTGTTAAATGCGTGCGTACAATAATTCAAGGTGAAAGATGATATTTCTACTTAGCCTTCTTTAATTGAAGTTGTTTTCGGCTCTCTCTCATTAAATATGTTGTGCTCTGCGCATTTAGAATGCTCCTCTGTTTTTTTTTTCTCGAGAACAAGACACCACAACGGGGAAGAACAGATAGAACTTTTGTCTTGTTCTTGTAAGGCTTTGTTCCAACATCACAACGCTGCTCGGGGAAGTCCCCAAACCCTCAAGACATTCCTTGTAGCCTGCTATTGATCAAGGTGGCAGTGTGGGAAGAAAGACGGAGAGAATAAATATGGCTTCTTTTTGACAGCCTCTCATATCAAGTCTAGGCACGAATCCTGATTGGTCCACTCTTCAATACGTCACTTTTCATCCCCTATTCCCCCTACGACTAACATTACTGTTTCCTTTTCCTCGTTTTCGTTCTATTCATTCACCCTTTCCCCGCCACACGTCATTCCCTCTTGGGACTTAAAAAATCCAGAACGCTAAAGAGAGAGTTGCAGAAAAAATGAGGGTGGTTTTTTAGTACAGGGAGGGTGAGTTGAAAAGGAGGATGATCAACAAATTGAAACGAGGCCGCCAGCTCTTCTGAAAGCAGGAAAGAAAAGGGGAAGAAATCGCAAGTGGTGAAGAGGTTGTGGGGGCGGGTTTAGAAATAAAAGTATCTAGAAGACAAATGGAAAGGAAAAATCCATACGGCTTGGGGAATTTTCCAATAGTTAACGTATCTCTTCTCGGCCTTTTTGGACATGCCAAGAAGACAAGACATTCAGCTTCCAGACACGCAACATTAAATTAAATTTACATACTTTAGGGTTAGGGAGGGCACGAATCGCTTAAATTATGTATCAACAACCCTTTGAAGCACGAAGGTGATATAAATAATATTTTTTTAAAAAATTGGTTTGCTATCACAAATAAGACACAGTGACTCCAACAACAAAAAATGTTTGTTATGCTGTTAAATAATTACTATTTATTCTGAGAATCATACGAAATTCATACAGTTACTTGGGCAAATTGTAAAGTTATTGAATTTTAAAATAGCTGGTACACACAGTTACCACCGCGCTTAAAGAGTTTATCAATCCAAAAATTATTGCCAGGGTGCAAATTGTTATAGTGAATACAACAGAAATTGAAATGTACTCGTTTGCTGAGATTACTTTGTTTCGCAACCTACAGAAGCCAACAGCCGACACTAGTTTATAAATCTTTAAAAAAAAATGCAAGAAACCTCACCTTCCATATTAGAGCAGCAGAATTGTAATTCACATCGTACGGTTATGCAGACGACACCTGTAGTAAGTGTGTTTGGTATGACACATTTTTCTCCAAGTCAGTTAAGAGCGTACAGAATATAGTGAATCACGAACACACGTGGAAATTCTGTTCATTCCAGTATGAATCTGTTCTTATTCACGTGTTAACAGTTGCGACCGTTCTCAGGTGTCTTTCGGAAATAAATTTCGACATGACTTGCATTTAGCCTACATGCAGTTTCTTCAAGTCATCTGCATAAAACAGTACCCGAAGAGGCTTATATCTTCGATGTAGGCTAAATTTTGTCAAGGCATTTTGATTTAAGTTTGAATAATTTTCAGTCGTCTTGACTGGTAGACGTTTTTATCAGTGACTGCTCTTCAGTTTGGTGTTACGTGTTGTCTTGTTTCAGAAGAGCTAAGGAGAAGCGGTTGAAGAAGGATGCCGGACGAACACGCTGGAGCCAATACTTCCGTTCCATGAAAGGAGGCTCGTCACCACGTCACGAGAAATTGCACGACAAAGACGATAAGATGGACCTCGAGTCCAACTTCAGCCACACGCACGGTAAGAACATGTCTACTTGTTACCAGTTTGCTCCACTTGGAGGAGCAAAGCATATCCGAGGTTCGTTGACCGTTACAAATAATGAAAGTCCACGTGACGTAGCCGGCCTGGTAGACAGGTGATGTGCGCTTGCGTAACATTCCTATTCCTGAGTTGAAAACATTATTCTTTAGTGCAAAGATAGTTCTCTCACGTCTTTGTCGCTTAACACTGCTTCCTTGTCTGTAGTATCGTTATTTGGTTGTTTTCTGATTATTTTATAACTTCCAATGTTTTAAAGTACCATCAGTAAAGTTGACATTAAATTAGAATAGGCTCGACGTTTTTCGGTCTCATAGTAGTGCAGCACGTGACTTCCGATGCCTCATACGTCACAGGGACTTGTTTAATTCTAGTGCACTGTACGATTGCCAGGTGAGCGACTATCTAAACTGGGAAAGTGTTGGTAGAAGGAGGAGGTGCGCTATTGTTCATTGCGAAAACATACAAATTCTAATTATCGCCAACTTCTAAATGTAATATCACCCACATTTCACAAACACATATACGCGAACATGTGCAATATTTTACAACCGCAAGTGAAAACCACTTGAAGAATAAAGTAATTGTGTGGTAAGTAATTTTATTCAGAATGGATAGTAGCATGAAAATTTTTACTGGAGTGTATATATCTCTGTCACATGATGTGACGTATTCGACCACGCCTCTTACCAGCCAGTGGTTTTCAGTTCGCGAGCGGTCAGTCAGCTGATGGAGCCAGCCGTGGTAAGCGGAGGGAGAGAAAACAGCCAAACGATGGCATAAGGCTCTTCAGTAACGTAACTTGAGCACGGATATATTTGTTGTCCAATATTGCAGAATACTGACAAGCTAGTGGTCGCTCAGTGTTATTTGTATTGACCTAAGCCCTTGATACCAAACACCAAAAAATTGTTGTATAAGGCAGAATGAGTACTGATTGATACATGTAATGGGATTTGGAAGGAGACGATCGAGGCCTAATTAAAGGTAAGACGTACTAAAGCGAAAGTTGCCTTGAGTTAAGTAGGAAAATTATCGGTCTCCGGGCCGATATTTGAACTGGGACCTCCCGAATACGAAGCAAGTGCAGTGAAACTTAAAAATGTTAGTCAGGTTCTCTACAGTACACATTTTTCACTTGGAAACAAATTTGAAAGTCGCCCAGTCGCTGTGTTGAGGCTAGACACGCAGACGCTCGTCATTCGCTCTGTGACGTAACATATGTAGAAGTCAGTCAGGTGGATAATACGTCACCACTGCGCCACCCCTTACGTGACTTTTTATGTTGCTGTAGTAATTCAGGGGGAAAACAGCTCAGATGGGGTGGGAAAGGTGGATCTAATGTTTAACAACAGAGTCGCCGATACAAATCTGAGGACGTCTCCATGAATCCCTAATGCGATTAAACCATCTGTTACATTATAATGCCGTGAATAGCTGATGTCATTTCATGGCTCGGCTGATTATAATGTCCTCTTCCCCTTCTTGCAAATGGATGTATACAAAAAAGAGCACTAAACTCCATTCTTATTACAGAATCGGGTTAGTCGTTAAAGCATTCTCGATCCTTATCGAAGTAGCGAGACTATGCGATGCGATATAAAAGTCAGACATTAAATAAATTGATAAAACTGTTGCTTACCACGTGACACAAATCAGATAATATCAATGTTTTTTTGCCTACTTTCCATTCTTATAATAATGTGTTTTTATACGGTAATTACTTTTCAACCAATAAAGGTCAAGGTAGTGAAATGTAGGGGCGATGTGCTGAGCATGAGGCTAGGGTAAGGGAAACAAATAATGCATATCAAATTTTGGTTGGGGAAACGTCTTGAAGAACGCCCTCTTGGAATACCTAAGAGACAGAAGGATAACACTGAGACAAATTTTTGGAAAACAGACTTTGAAGATGGAGAAGTGGAGATATTGGACTTGGAGTTGTATTACAGTGTTGCGTCTCTTCTTGGTTTGCAGACCTCAATAGCAATGATAGCTACGGGACGGTGGTAAACCTAGGACTGGAGCAAGACGGGTCGTCACCCCACAGCGCGGGGAGTCGCGCCCCGCACTTCACTCTGCATGGGGGACCAGCCACGCCACCTTATCTGTCATCCAGTCATTCACCAACTCCGCCCCACCCCGCCCTAGGACCCAACTTCCCTTACTCCACAGGAGAAGGGCTCGCGGTCTACACAACCCTAGGTAAGTCTCACTTCTTGTTCTCTAAATTTGAGATGTAGGGCGTAGTATTATAGGACGTGTGTGTTGGTGTAATGTTGCGGGTTACCGCCATCTTTGCTCCTCTCACTTCCTAGATCGCTAAAATGTAATATTCTTACGAATACAGAGGAACACGATAAACATAACCTTACTTTTCAGTTCCAAGCTCAGAATGTAGGATTTTGATAAGGATCCTTTGCAGTTTTTCTTTCTTTTCTTTATCTTCCATTATTCTTCATTATACTTTTCTGTCTTTGACTTTTTCCCTTTCTCTTTACTTTTCTTCCTTCCTTTCTTATGAACTTTCTTTTCTTTATTTGCCTCCTGAGTCATCAATCTGAAGACATCATAACAGCTATTCTCACTTACACTCTATAATGGTGTTGTAGGTCAGGGGCCCCCTCCCGGGGCCCACCTGCCCCCTGGACATCCAAGCCTGACCAGTGGACCAGCTTCTGACCTCAGCAACAGCAGCAGCACCCACGGCTACCCTGATTTCCCACCCAGCCCTGATTCTTGGCTGGGTGAGGTCAGTACCTCATCTGGGCCCCAAGCGAGTGGTGCAGCCCCCCAGTACTGACCCCGCCACCTCTCATAGCAGAGGATGAACTAGTTCCTCAAGACGAGGTTAAAAGGTGGAGCTATAAGACAGCGTCACTCTAGTCATGTGCAATCAGAGAGTTCGGGTCGCAAATATAAGAATCTGTCTTACCGCTGCCTCTTGGAGGATCTGGGATCTCTCTCCTGTATCAATCTCGGAACATGTTTCATTCTTCAGTGTTTTGTTTTCTGATACATCTTCATATGTACATAAAAGTACTCCGTTACTGAATAAACAGTCAAAACCTTGCCGAGTGAAACGCTTAAAGAAAGGAAAACATCTTCATTAAACATCAAAGTATAGTGTGTTTACTGATAAACCAGAATAAAACTGTCACTTCAGGCTCTCAGCACAAACTGCATGACTCACTGCCAAGCGCTATAAGATTTTTCCTGATACGAATCAAGTATCACTTCATACAAACAATAATTAAACATAAGTTCTGGTAAAAATTGATGAACTAAAAGGCTATCTAAGTGAAAACAGATAATGTGCATCTGCTGGTTAAATGTCGATTGTGGTCTTCTGGATTGTGATGTCACGTAATCTTGCTGTGTTATTTCCAACCCTGAAGATGGAGGTGATATATTTCTCTATACCTATAAGACTACATGGCATCACAATCCAAATGACCACAATTAACATCTTCACAGGAAAACATGAAGTATCAGATATCTGGTTTAGCGGCGACAAATGATAGTTCAGTTTGTAATTTTGTGGTCGGACCTCGTGGTATTTTCTGTGTCATAAATGTCTAAATGATTTCTTGAAAACAGAAAATTTACTATTAAATCCCATGTAAATAATCAAATATATATTATAATAAATATAAAGCGAAGATAAGAAAGGCGCTCCACATAGACTTCTATTCTAACGTATTCTGAGGAGTTCCTCAAAGGACAAAGTGCTGTATGCCATTTTTCCATCAGTACACAAGACTGGGTATTCAGAATTTTAAAATCAATTTTGTATTTGATAATACACAGATGCTCATAATACTGCCTGAAATGGATACGATAGACAAACATTTGTTTAGAATCCGAACTATATGTGGAAGGACTTAGGGGCCTTTACCAAGTCTTCTCTTGTTTGTTAACCAGCTCCTCAGTCATAGGGAGATCCCAGTGCCACCAAGTGGGGGTTGTGAGAACTATAGTGATGAGTCTTCTCTGTTATATTTGTCAAGGGCTCAGATGAAAAAAACAAACAAAAGAAACAACTGATGTGGTGTCATGTCCTGTGTTACGATCACATTTTCTCTTAAATTATTGCCGTGTGTGACAAGTTCTGGTAGATGTTTTCATTACTATTTTAAGAAGAAAGAATAATTTCAAGATTAGGAAGTTTGTTGGCTTCTTGGTTATATATTACATTATAACGACACGACTGTGGTACCAGAGACTGAGTGTAGGTGTTCAATCAGACCGTTGCACATATTGTTACTTTATGAGATGTACTGCATTGATATACGAGCTAGTATTGTCCATGTAATATTTACATATTCACTTTGGAGGAAGTGAATTATGTAACTGATTTCAAACTTTCATGACAATTCATTAATAGGTTACTGCTTCCCACTCATCATCACCAACCCCTGACGACACTGGGTCTTTTCACATCCCACACCGATCATCCACTAATCTCTTAAAAGGACTGGTATTGCTTTTTCTTTCTACTGTCTCAGCCATAATTTGGCCCTATATAGGGGATAATACCTCGGTTATCCAGTCCTTATCCAGTCGCTTTACTGACTGAGCAACCCGATGGTGGCAGAGGATTTTACCTCTAGCCTCTGCATCCAGACTGGCTCTGGGGCACACCCAACCTCCTATCCAGTGGGTAAAGCATGGCCTAGGCATGACGCTAACCACTCACCCCCACCTAGTGTCAAAGTTAAGAATGAGTAGGAGCTATACCTCCTCTCCCCCCAAGCGCCTACATGGTGTATAGTGGGACAACTTTTTTGTTCTAATGACTATTAAAAAATAATAAAATTCACATGGTGATTAAATGTAATGAAGTTTTCTCAGATTGTATGTATTTATTTGGAAAGAAATTCTGATGTTTCAGAGAATAAATCCATCTCCATCATACATGCATACACACACATTTTATTACATTCCATGGATCCATAAGATAATCAGATGACAATATTATAAAATACAATTCATACTATTATATAAATTTCACATAATACAAATAAAGGGTTTACCTAAAGTAATGATAAGTTACAAGTAAATCTACCCATTACATACAGAAGATAAATTATCACTTATTTGTAAACAACAGAAATTCATCAGGGATCCATGTCGTGGACACAAATTTTCTGATGAACCCACATGCATGCATGCATGTGTATGCGCGCACATACTCCCTTGCTCATGTACACCTTACAAAGCCTAGTCTTTATTGGTTTTGGGCTATGAAGAACACAGTTTAATTGGGCTTGTCAGCCAGCTCCAATATATTTTTGTTAATGTGAAATATACCAAATTTACAAAATGGATAATACTGGCTCCCCCCACCCCCTTTCTTTCTTTCTCTTGTGGCCAGATGAAATGAGGTTCAAGTTGTACACTAATCTCCTTCAAGCACTCGAAGTGAATTGTTTTGTTAAATATAGTGACATGAATGAATCAAGAAGGAGAGCTGATTCATATACAAATAATGGAAAGACAAAAATTCCATGATACTCTTCCGTCAGTAGATTTATAAGTTCTGGAAAGTATTGTGAATTCATCCTGTTTACAGCAAGTAAGCTTGGGTCAACTGTTTATACAGAATTTCAATACATTTTTAATATAGTTTTTTAAACCTGTTTTACTATGCACTCCTATTTGATATTGTAAAACATTGTTTTGTGGCAATAAAACTGTTTAGTTGGTTCTGTAATTTTTATAGGCAGTGGTAACAGTTGCTATCAGAGACAGGAGTTAAAGGAAACTGATTTTGTTGGCCCAGGACAGGGTTTGGTTAATTCGGTGATGAACCTTGGGTTCCGTAAGCCATCTAAGCAAAAGTGGCAACAGTTAATTTATTATTTCTTTAAAAATGGTCTTAACAGTTGCAGAGGTTAAATAATAAGTGAGATGAGGTTATGTATGGTTAATTAGAAAGAATAATCAAGATATTTCATTCAGTGATCCACTTCAAGGTACTATTTTGGTATGGTATGGTAGAGGGTGACTGAAATGAGGTTATGTATGGTGAATTAGAAAGAATAATCAAGATGTTTCATTCAGTGATCCACTTCAAGGTACTATTTTGGTATGGTATGGTAGAGGGTGACTGAAATGGAAGTAAAATCTCATAAGGATTCGTGCTTCACTCTTATAGTATATCGATGGTTTATAGCAACCAATACCTTCGCTGACCACTGAGCTAATCTGCTCTGTGACATTAAATGTAACAAATAAATTGGATTGTTTTGAGGATCAAGTTTCTGAATTATTTAATAACAATTATTACTCACTCTATGGCTTTTGTAACAATTATAGTTAACAGCATTTCCAAATGTTTAAACTCGTGGAAACATGAATTTAACAGATTAAATATAAAATATGGGACTTTATGTAATATTTAAGCCAGTGTAATGTAGAGATGTAAACAGTTCTGAATTTGTAGTTAATATGTAAAATTAGTATTGCTGGGGAAAAAACTGCAAATTAATTCTTTCTTCAGTGTTGTGTCTGTACTAGTGACCAGCTTTGACTGAACTGCACATCTGCATTTGAAGTCAGCATGTTCTCTTTCTTTGTAGCTACTTCTACAGAAGTACATAACCTCAAATAAGGATTATATCATAATTATGATGAAATGGTTGTTAAACCTTACTACATTATGTGAATAATCAGTTTCATTTTAGTAATTTGAGAGAAAATTGTAGGATTTGAGGTTTTCGTGTCAGTGAGTTTGTAGATGGCTGTCTTCTGGGTTGTTGCGCCATGTAGTCTGGTTGAAATATCTACCAGACTAGATGGCACAAGAACCGAGAAGACGGCCATCTTTAGAGAAAATTATTGAGGAAAATGGAAGAACCAAAATGAAGTTAAAGATTCATTCTGTTTGTTCAGAGCCTCATTCAATATCTTATATTTTAATGCAGTTTAAAATGTAAAGTTGTGTATTAATTTAATTTTTGTTCCCTAGGAATTTGCTGTTTACTACTGCATTGTGAATTATTTCCTATATAAATTCAGTTTACAAGTTTACTTCCTCTTTTGGACATTTAAAATGAATGGTGCACAATGCATAAATGTAAGTCAATTTTACTTCTGTGTGTGTGTTGTGTCAAATTTCTGTATAATATTGTGAGTTGGAAACCAAACTATTATTTAATTTTATTTTCTGATAATTATCTGTTTAAAATTTACTGGAAAGAAATTCTATATTTTGATAAAAATCAGTATCCTGAGGAAATATTGGGATAAAAACAAAGATTTATGTGAAACTTGAAAGTTTAAAGGTTGCCCAATACAACAGAATTTAACTAATCAATTTAATATGAAACATATGATTAAATTTAAATGAGATGGGATTTATATATGTCTATGGATTCGTTGGCTCATTTGAATGTCAGTTTCTGAACTGAAGAGAACTTTATCTCACTGCTGATGCGAGCATAAAATTGTAATATGTGCCATGAATTTTAAAAATCTTACATAAAATTAAGCCCAAGATGATGAATGAGTTATAAGAGAACTGTGTTTAGAGAATCATAGCTTTTGGTGCTTAAATGGCACTTGCTTGAGTTAGGTGGTATAATTGACAGGTTCATTGTAACAACAAACTATATTACTAAAGGAATTCAGCCCTCCAGAACCTCAGCATGTGGCCACAAGATGCTAAGTATCATCTAGTCACTGCAGTATGTTGTATTTGAACTACATTTGCTTGTCCAAGGTTAATAATGCTAGTCATAATCAAATGGAGATAAATATTTATGTTTATTTTAATTTATAATAATATATGGACCATTTGATTTTCAGTACACAATTCCGCTGAAAGTTTTCTTTCATGTTGTGCCCTCCACCCCACTTCTAATGATTCCCTTTCTCTTCCTTCTTCCTTTTCTGGTTTAACAATATCTGTACATTTTCCGGTACCCTTTACGGGTCCCCAACTTTTCAGTTGGCTCAATCTATGGAAATTCGGTAGGACTCCTTAGACGAGTGATCGGCCCGTCGCAAGGCCTCTACCTGTACACAGGACAGCAAAACACAGAAAAACATCCATGGCTTGAGTGGGATTCGAACCCACGGTCCCTGCGACCAAGCGGCACAAGACCCACATCTCAGATCGTGCGGCCACTGCGGACCCCCCTTTCTCTTCCTAATATGGTAAATAATGCCACAGGGTTATCAGAAAGCAGCAGTAGAAGTGAGCAACATCTAGTAAAGATATCAAAATCACAATATGGTAAGTTTCAGAGTTTACTAGACTAAATTTTGTTAACATTCTGACAGAAAGCAGGAAGAAGGAAAACAAATTCTTCCTCCAAGAGACCTTCAAGTGATGGACTACCTAATGTAGAACAACTGACATTTGGTTTATAACTCTGTGAATATGTTTGTGAATGACAGTAAGAAATCGTAATTATATTAATGAAACAACAGGTCAGAGAATGTTTGCTAATGTTCAGTTCAGAAAACTTCATCTCTACATCTCCTGTTCAAATACATAAAATTAAAACATAAAAGACCCTAATTTTACCTGTTGTTTTGTTTGGGTATGGTAAACAGTATGTGACCCTAAGAGAAGAACATGCACTCCTGGGCAAGGCCTGGGCTGTGATGGGCATGACTGCAGATATGAGCTGGCCTGCTTGTTCATGGGCTGGGATCTGCATGAACTGTTATGGGCATGGCTAAGCTAGGGTGAGGCATTTGTGTAGATAAAAAAATGTTCACAAAGGGCACAAAACTAATTTTCTTGAAAAATTCGACTTTCAACTTTTTTTAAAAAAAATTCAGGTATTTTCGTTCTTTATGAGATTTATGAAGATTTTCGAAATTTTTAAAAAATATAGTTTTGAAAATTTTTAGAAATTTGGAAGTCGTTCAAGGAGACACGAGCACCTGCAGAGTCCAAGTCTCGGCGAGGCCGGGTCTAGGCTAGGACGGGTCTCGATGGGGAAAATTTCGAGATTTTTTAAATTTTTTTAACTTTTGTACGATTTTTGGACAGTTTCCAGGACTTTTTGATTTTTCGAAAATTTTGAGAAAATTTGAAATTTTTAAAATTTTGAAAAATTTTGAAAAAATTAAAAATGTTTCTAAATAACGTGAAAGGCGAAAGGAACTAAACAATTTTGAAAAATTCAAAAAAAAAATTAAGTCGGAATTTTTCATAAATTTTGTGCGCCATTTGGCCATTTTCCTATATTTTATAGTTTTTCGAAATTTTTTTACAAATGTCTTTCCACCCATTCTATACGCCGGACTCGCTCTCTGCGTGACCCGGTCTTTGCCGTTCTGTCTTTGCCTTACCGCCTATGACGGACACGATCTCTTCCGGACTCGGTCTCTGCATGACGCGTCCTCTGACGGCTTGTCATTGCAAGTGCGTGGTCTTCGGGGCCTGCCTGAGCCAGATACTGTGTGAGCCAGAGATGAAGACTAGCAGACTGGGTGTTGCACAGATAGCCCGGCAAAGACCGAGTCTAGCAGAGAACGTGCGAAGCAGAGATTAGGACTGGCAGAGACCGGATGTCATTCATCGTTTGTGGTAGGTATAGGAAGGGGAAAATTTCCAGATTGTTGAAATTTTTAAAAAAATTTGAAATATCAGAAATGCTGGAAATTGTCTTTAGCCGACTACATTCGGCTCTGAT